AAAGAAATATTCATATTTAGGTTACCTACTTATATTATTTATGAAATATTAATTCACACTGAAAATACAATCCACAAGACAACGATGACGCGAGTGTGCTGATACTCTCATCAAAACACGCTTTTTGGCCAAACAAATTATTTTAGAAACTTACTTCGAACATTTTTGCAAGTTCTTGTTTCAACTACTTCGTGGTCATGATCAACGTAGTTGAAGTCTTTCCAATGGATGACATCACCTCTCTCGCTATCACAGCCATAAGACAAGCGTTTTACTTCGCTTGGACTTAGCTCCCCACTCCAAATATTAAACGACGACAACACCGCCTTATCATTTACCGATGAATTCAAATATCCAACGGTCAAGGTCTCGTTATTTATTTCTAAAAAGATAGTTAAGTATTTTCGGTATTAGTATTGGAGCTTTAATTGACAAGAGATACGAGTTTCAGCTCTTTTTAATTCCGATGCCCGATTATTCGTTATTTTCCAGCCGATCACATTTACCTTCTGGCTTTATTAAAAGTAAACTTTTTCTTTCTCCATTTAGGTAAAATGACACGGCCACCTTTTCGTCTTTGCCAGCCATTAAGAAGCAGTAGAAATTCCAAGCAGTGGAGTTATGTACAAAACCAAAGCTGAAAGATCAAAAGCAACGACAAAAAAAGGAATTGACAATTTTTAAATTAAAATCTAAAATTAAAAATTTAATTTAAAATTTATATTTTAATTAAAATTTACTGTGATATACTTTAGCAATGGGCTCCTCGTCTCTTAAATCTTATAAAGCAGTGTTTATTCGCATAATGTTTGACTTTACTTACGATTTGGGTGATTGAAGATTCACAAAAATCTCTTGAGATATGTTAAGCCATAAATAGGATCTGACATAGATGCCACCGCCCTTCTTCCAGAAGCATATAGTAAAACTGTTTGTTTCTTTACTGGACTTCTGAATTTCTACCACTTCTTTTGAAGACGGGGAAAGATGCAGCTCGAAGTCTTCATCCACTGTATAAAAGAAGGATTGAGATACGTGTAATGAATATTGTTAATAATAGTGCTATAAAGGGTTGGTATAAAAGTGCTATGGGATTGATATTAAGATGATATCTGCACATACACCAAACTGATATAGAAATAAAGGAAAGGAATAGTGTTGAAGGAGGATTAGCATCCTTCTAAGCACTATTCCTTTCCATTATTTTTATCATAGTTCCATGCGGTCCTCATATTCATATCCATACACCAAACTGACTGGTACATAAGATTTCGCCATTTATCATCATTGTCAAGAAAACATACAGGCAAAAAGCAAAATAACAAAAACAAAACGAAGCATGAACGTTTTTCGAGGTCTTCGAGCTTCAAACGACATATTAGCTATAACTTACAGTACTTTTACAAAGAAAACCTTATATACAAGTTTATATTATTGATCTCAGTCATCTTGACTTGAAAGAAGTAACATCAGAGTAACACTAAAAGTTGTGATTTGAAATCGCCATAAAAGGTTAGGTCAAGTTGAAACGATTCACTTCATACAATTCGTCTTAACAAAGCATTTTTTTAAAACATCAAGAATCACTTCAAAACAAAATGTATTTTATCTAACTATCCGAATTTCTTTCCGGAAAAAAAGCTAAACTTATAAAAAGCGGTGAAACGAGCTTCATCATAGCTTATAGAGCTAATAGTTCTCAAACTGCGGCAGGCTTACAAGAAAAAAGATAGATTTCAAAAAGAATCTTAAGTGCCAACCTAACAAACTATCAGGAAAAAGATCTATAGATTCAACCACTCAGTCAATCAAGAAAGCTTTCTTTGAATTGGGCATACATCATAACCGAAACGTAAAAAAATCTACGTAAGCTTAAGATTTAAACTCTGATAAGCTTTTAAAGTTCTGCTCCAGTTTTTGAGATGAACAAGTGTCTTCAATAAGATGTTTGCCTTTAAAATAATTGTTCCTCCTACGGTACTGTTCCATCTTTTGCATGAAGTCACAAAAAAAAAAACAGAAAAACAGCGTAAGACAAACCAACCAAATTCAGGACACGAGCAAATGCACGGCATTAGCGGACGACTCTCGGAAAAATCTCGATTGATTGCGAAAGGTCTCGAAGTCCACCCGAATAAAAGAAGCTAGGGAGGGGTGGACACGATACCTGGAGCACACATCGGTCCACGGCGAGTAAAATGCTTAATGTTTATTTTCTCGTAATGTAAAGCATGTAGGCATTCTGTCTGCGCATGCGCGCGAAAGGGCCCATGGATTCGCGCCCTTTTGTAGATGAGCGTGAAGTAAACAAAAAATTATCATGGCGGACTCAATTCGCAGTGTACTCTTTCTTGCTTCGCTTTGATTGTTTATTAATTACTCGGGGTTCCACAGGAACCGCGAGTTTAGGTTTCGGCTTTCTTTGTCATGGTAGTCGTATTTGGTACACAAATTGTCTCGGTCAAACTAGAATGCACCGGGTACGAATCACGTGACATTCACAACTTCCATGTGCTATCTTTACATGGTGTCGTCTTTATACGAGATAGAATAGGATTCAACTTCAAACACGCTCAAATCTCTTACAAATCCATACACCATTCGCGGTATAGCCACACTAAAAGATGTCGAACGTTTTTCGAAAGGGCATTTTGAGAGATACCGCGAATTTATCGTGAAATTTATCGTGAAACTTATCGTGAAATTTATCGCGAACTATCTATCAAACAAGCTACCAATCTTATCAAAAGCGGCGAACTCTATACTGATTCTACAGGCTCTGAAACTACAAAGGACTTCTCTAAGTAATGCGAACAGAATTCTACTGAGGAAAAACCGACGATTTCAACAATTTTATTTAGCAGAGGCGATAAAAGACTCTGTCTTTATAGCCTGCCATGTGACTATCAAAGTGAAAGAGAGCTTGACAWAGACTATCAATTCTTCCTTAATGCTAAGTACATTGCTTCTGTTATTATTTTTCATTCAAGGAAATAATTTTTGCTTTAAAATTTTGATAGTATTGATATTAACTTTATATATTAGGGTCCAATACAGTCCAATTCTTCGATAACTACACTCAAAATATTGTCACTTCATCGTTTAGTGATTGTGATATCTTAGATAAAACTATTTGTATGACTGTTTATGGTGTATACAATGATGCAGAAGTTACAATAAACATTACAAGTACTACAAGATCTCGTTATTCAAGGTTTTTTTATTATAATTATCGACAAGTACGTTGTAGTCGTAGTCGAGAGCCCAGTAGGATACCAAAACGATTTCTAAGACGCTTACATAACAAAAGTAGAAAGATAAGATGCATTGTTTATCATCGAATCTGTCGCGCAATATTCCCAGATCTTCTGAGTTGCATAACTATATCAACTTCGGAATTGTGATATATATATTACTGCATATCATGAATTGTCTATCAAACTAGCTACCTATCTTATCAAAAGCGAATTATATAGTAAATATATGGCAAACACGCAAGTGTAAACGAGCCTTACCAAATTCACTACTATTTTTATCAATAAGAACCCCGAGTTTACGCAGTTATGCGTCTAATTCTACCTACAATTTGTAGTTTGTTAGGTCAAAGAGTGGTTGTGTAGCTTGTCGACAAAAAAGTCAGCCATATTCGATCTTATGTCGACGAATTTACACCTTTGCGCTTATAGGGATTCATACGTAGCAACAGTTCACTCAGCCACACTTGTGTACCATATTGATAGTGCTTTACAAAAGCGCACGCAATTTATTCAATAATTTGACTATGCCCACCCGATTTTATAGCTTTTTAGATTTAAAATGATGATAAACACAAGCACGGGCGATAGTAGAAATAGAAAGTTATTTTAATATATTGAAAGGAAGAACAATGCGAGTGACAAAGTTTGTATTTAAATTCTCATAAAGTTGAAAGAATGTTTTCACGAGAAAAAATACTTTGATTTTCCTTAAAGTAAACACATTTAAAGAAAAACACTCCATTTACCTTCTCCAGGAATTTCGTCGACCAGAGACTTGAAAATATGAGGTACCCGGAAGGTCAAAAATGGTCAAAAACTCGACGAGACGGCAGCCATTCACGAAGGTTGAACTACAACGTCGAACGATTTATGCTATGAAATTTTTATTTTAAAAATGACTTCATTTCTGAAATTACTAGAAGTAATATATTCACTCAGTGCTGTTTTTATTCATGGTCAAAAGTAAACTTTTCGTGCTAAATGACGTTGAAGTTGGGCAAATAGCAGCACTGTTTTAATTTTCACACACAAAAGCAAACATTAGCAAAGGGTGATCGGCACTGAAGTAAAGATTGATATTGTCAACATTGAAACTTCATTACATAAATACTCGCCTCAATATCTTGTAAGGTAGAAAATCTGAATTGAACAGCAGGCAAAATCAAAACGAAGACAACCATATGTTCAGTGAATTTCGTTATTTTCAGATCATCTCAAAGGAATATATCTACCGAAATATAAAGCCTAGGAATACATCTAGAATAGCCAGTGTAGTCACTCTTGTATACTCTCGGTTCTAATTGAAATTATTACAATTCAAAGTGTTAAACCTTGCGATCTAGTCTAGCAAAACCTTGAAAAAGAACTCCATGTTCCAAAGAAAATGGCTCCCATTCTCGAAGATGCTTTCGTGACACACGCATGCGCAGACAAATTGCCCATATGCTGTCATGTAATCAACATTTCGCACTGAAAATCATTAAGTAGATAGGAAATATGTCGATGTATTGTAATTTAAAAGTAAATTGTCGTTTTCTGCCGTTTTTTTCGGTAAAAAAGGAGCAGAATTATATTTGTCACGTGACCAGTGTTTCATGAGTTGTCACAGACTAGTTAGTAGTATCCCGCGAGGCACGGGATCATTGACGTAATACCACAGGTAACCCGCAGCGCGCGCCGATGCGATAACATAATATAAGGGTGCGCATTCATTCTTTTCTTTCTTTCAAGCAATAGTTGGGTGGCCTATGGGTAAACGACAGCAATTCAATTTCGAAAGATTGCCATTAGTCTTCAAAGTAATTGATATCATTTAGCTGATCTCGCCAAAATGGAAATGATCATTGATGTAATGAATCTAGAGAGCATCTACATGAAAGAATTGATGAGAGATAGGGTTTGTACTTTCATTGTTTTCTGGGCCAATCAAAATCGTTAGCAATTCCTTTATTTAGTCGATTATTGGAACTAACAGTCCTCCATATTCACATCAGTCGCCTCCTTTGGCTCCATTTGAAACAAAATCATTAGCAGAAATCAGGGACATTTTGCTCCCGCGTTATATTTGGTCTGCGATTTCATTAAATTGTACACAGTATGCACAAGGGTTTCAATTTCACATCGCAAACACGTCGATGGAGCATTCTCAGACTTGAGTAGATTATAAAGCTTTAAATTCAAATTCTTCAGCGGACAATGAATCGAGAAATCTGCAAATAAGTACAAACAAGGGTCAAAGACGAATCAAGTTGAAGCAAATAATCTGACATTTTCCAGTTCATAGCAAGAAAGAATCATAACAAATCATGAAAAGTTTTTGAATTATTTACACGAAAAATTTAGTCTGCAATCCGTTTAAGTCAGCAGTGTAATCCATGAACATGCCAGGCTGTTATATTCATAGAAAATGGCCGCCAAAGATAGTAAACAAAGTGCGTTTTTACGGATTATACGACTTCAACAGCTCGTCATGGCCCGGCAGTAACCAAGAAGTTATGCTTAAAAACACATAACTTCGCGGCCTTATAAATAGCAGAAATGATGTCGATCTATATATACGTGGCGCTATTTGAGGATTTGATTTAGGAGTCGGCCGATGATCCCATGAAGTGATCGCTAGTTTCAAGCTACTGAAGTAAGGAAGGTAACACTATTTGAGCTTAGATTACAAGACATACATAGGGTGAAATCTTTGTGTCTTTTGACTCGTTTTGCGGCCTCTAGAATGAGTTTCACAATGCAAATATGATCCCAAAACATATCATTGAAAGTACATTTAATGACTAGGAGTCGGCACTAACAGCGAAAGCTTTTTATATATCGAAATTTTACTTTAAATTTTTAGTCACATTCAATTCTCGCGGTATTCTTGAGCGGATATATTTCAAATTCAAATCGGACTGAAGTCCAATAACGTGGCGTCAGAGGTCCCTGATTTCTGACAATGCTTAAGTTACTAGCCTCGTGCACCAGACGGTTTGTTCAGCGTATCAGCGTACCAAAAACCTTCACATTTTAATGATTTTTTGATTTTTATATCATTGGAAAGATCGTTTGTAGATCTAGGTATTTAGTAAACTTTTGAAAAGATACCAAGTTTACAACAAAAGTTATTGCGCTCAAAAGATTTTTTATTCTTAATTGGATTAATGGCGTTGATGACAGCTCACATCAAACGAGTTTTACTTTACGACCGTGTAGAGTGAGAGTCGATTGAAGCATGCAGTAAGACAAAAAAGAATATGTCTTTGGACTGCCAATGTGAAGGACCAATAAGCAATATATTCGATAAATATACTCACCGGCAGTTTTCACATGGATTAAGTATTAAAGTCCGTCCTGAAATCCAGAGTTGTATATCAACCTCATGTTGTTGATTCTCGGTTAATCATATTCTGCTTCTTTTCCCTGTCTTTTCTCCGTATCACTCAATTTCTTTCTCTTGTATTAGTTTAGTTCATGATTTTACACGTTTTGATTTGAAACGGCCAAAATTTGCGAGAATCAACTATACATTATATTTACAATTAGGGACTGTGCAATAATTACCAGGAGGGGGGGGGGCGTAAAACCAGATTTCTTAAGCAGAAAATTAGTTAGAACCCCACCTCCGAAGCACAAGAAAATAGGTCTTACCCCCCCTGCTATATTAGAAATAACGTCGGACCCCCCCATAACTATTAACCCTAGTTATAAAACAAGCACATGTGAGTCAAGTCAACTGTAGCAACCCAAAATTCACTAAAGACGAACCCAGATGCAAGAGGTGGCTTACTCATCTGGATCTAAGTGTAAAGACAAAAACTTTCAGGAGGAGCTGACAAGCAAATGTGGTGCCCTTGCTTCTTTCAAATAATTTTGTTCCTGGCAAAGGTTTTCAAGGTCCAAAAAAAAGCTTATTTAAAGTTTCTATAGTCAAAAACGACTTATATTACCGTGCTTGTTGTTATGTCTAATAAATCTCCAATATGTTTTTCAGCTTCTACATCTTCAATTTATGTGACAAAATTGAAAAAATCAATAGTCGAAAAAAAATTCATATCTTGGTCAATTTCAATCACACATTGATCAACAAGTCTTTGAATTTAGATTTCCATTAATTAGGCGCGCAGCGTGGACTTATTATGCACATGTCAGGGACCGCGACATGTATTTTGGATCTGGGGATCTAACGAACGCCAAAGGCGGGAGTATTAAGGGAGTCTGGTCCTCTCGCAGAAAATTTTGAAAAATGTTTTCAAAATTTGAAAGAAATAACTCTTGGAAATGCGATTTCCAGCACTTTGAGAGACATCGAAAATTATGAAAATTTTGAATGAGACTTAAGGCCCCCACTCTGTTAATTAGGTAATTTTACTTTGAGCCCCCCCTATATATCTTGCCATCAATTTTATGTAATGCCCCCCCCTCTGGTTTTACGGCCCCCTCTCCTGGTAATTATTGCACAGTCCCCTTAGTATATCCGTGATTCGCTTCGCTAATCTTCTTGGCCTTCGGCATTCCTGGACATTATCGAACATATTAGCTTCGGCTAACCCAAAATTGCTACAAAAAACTGTATTTGTAGTAAAATCTTACGAGTTACAAGTTGATGTTTTTGAAAGTAAACTAACCTTACTACTTAAATCGGTTTTATAGCTGTCATCGCATCTTTCATGCTAACATGACGTAGTTTCCGATATGGTGTTAAAATCTGGTATTACCCGGTATAACCCCATTACGGCCTTAAAACTGTTTTTGACTCAGTTTCTCGAAACAAAATTTACGGCAAGTAGGCCATACGTTTTAAACTCCAAGTCAGATACCCGTCAACCAATTTTATTCATATTTCGTAGCATTGTTTACAAATAGTTAAGCAACAAAATTATGTCTTGCATTCTGATAAGTCGTCTTTTTTCAAAAGTTATTCAAGGTTCTCTAAAGAACTTGACGTAATTTTGCGTTCTTAAATTTTATTACGACATTAAATCAAAACGAGAGCGCGTATAAAAAATCGCAGACACAATTTTTGAGACAAATATGTGAAAAAAAGAACAGCGCTTAAATTGAATTTTTTCCGATAATTCTTTCAGACTTGGTGTTCGTTTTATACAGGCATGTAGTTTCAGATAATGGAGCTAATAACTCTAAAACGTAATTTTAAATGCAAAAAAAACACTTATAGTCATAAACTACAGTTACTAAGCTTTCAGAAAATATATACTTTGTGACTATTTCCAAAACAACAAGAACGTTATAGTCGATGACGCGAGTAGGAGTCGCGTGGGTACGCTGATACCTTAACCGGGATTTGATATCCTTCTATAATCTCTACTTCATGAAATATTGACTGCAGAAATACATGAGATTTCATTGACTGTTACCATCTTGGGTGTCCCATTTCATTTTCAGTTGATCAGAGAGGTAATCTCCACTTTGCATTTTCTTTACCCATGAGCTTTGGGAACTATTACTTCTCCAATAGCATGATGTATCAAACCAAAGACAAAGGCTACCTACAAATTAGTTGAACTAGTTGATTAAAGATCCTACCTAGATTCATCCTAGCTCCTTCCCAGAGACTATTTCAAATTTACTTTTGCCCTATGTGGATAATATAAAGAAGTGGGAATAGTCACTCGGGACGAGATTGGCTTACGTTGATAAGAACGGCCCCAAGCATATACTAATATACATATACAATTCCGAGTAGTGCCAAACATCTATTACGTAGTAGAGTTTTCAATTTTGTTCCCTAAATGTTTACTTGTTTTAAATATGGAACATGGAAATATACTTTTGTTTATGAAGATTGCATGATGTTTACAAAACACATTACATACTGTAAAAGAATATTTAGCACTTACTTGTTCGGAAACAGCGCTTTTTGAAACTCATGATTTGGTTATGGGATAGAGCTTTAGAATACACCTGCATACAAGATATACTTCCATTGAAGTACCGCTTATCGCCCAGCCTTGCACCCATTCTGACATTGTGATTGGTAGCTAGTTGAAACCCTTTTCCAATATATTTTTCGACAACAAATCTATCACTGATAAACAACTTTGCCATTCCTGTTTGGCCATTGTACGTCGCTCCAACGTATTGCCATACACCGGCTTTTACTCCATTGCTGGAAATGCTAGAAACTTCAACATTTCCGCGTTTATTAAATCGAGCGAACAACTTATTTTTTCCCCTCATCCAGAAATGAACTCCCCAGCCATCTGTGTCGTAGTTAAAGATAGGTCCTTGATTTCCAGTGTGTTTTATCCAAGCTAGGAGCGACAAAGAGTTTTTGGCTTCCAGCCGCTCTTCGTCGTTTTCAAACTCTACATAACTTTCCGGGGTTCCAATGAATCGGTATGCACCACCGGGCGTTCCATCGGGGCCTTCGTCCGGAAATATATTTGCAAATTCACCACCTGGGTTACGATTTAGGACATCCTCTCCTTGCATAAGAGTATTTAGTGGATATACTGCAAGAGCGCCATCTAAATAATTGAGTTTTATTAATTGAAATGYGTATACACAATAACTTTACTAGTATTTCTATACTTCATTGGATTCAACTAGGATATAATTAACAATTATATTATGGGATCATCACCAGAAAATCCGGACATACGAGCCCGCAATAGCAGCTGTACTTCGCATAAAGCACAAAAACATGTTTGTTAAATTTTACAAAGAATTGTACGGATCGAAAAAAACTATTTGAGAATAACATTTGATCTATTTTACATGGAACGTTTTCCAAGATGAAATCCTAAAGGGAAACTATTCTTGATTCCATTGTAGGAAAGCCAAATAAACACGAAATTGTTAAGAGCGTCCTTTTTGACAATTTTCTTTTCCTTTCGTCGTCCTTGTATTTCATGGTGAAAATCCGCGAAGAAGAGAAATTTCACCATAGCTGATCGTGTTTCCTTACATGTCGTTGAGCTAAAAACACAGCAATTTTCAGCTATTTTGAAGACGATAAACGGCGTCCTTTTGGTACTAGAAATCGTACAATTTGAAAACACTAACTTGACGGTGAAATGGCTGGCGACGACTCGTGTTTYACGCGAATAATTGGCCTCGATCTTCCATTTTCTTTTCATTTTATTCGCCATGTTTGGTACCAAAATAAACCTGAGAAACGTGGCTTTCAGACTTGGACTGCTTTAATTTTGGCAGTTTTTATTGTCGCCTTGCGCGCACTGGTAATTAGCGGGAATACGAACGAAAGATAGACCAATCAAGTCTACGCTATTTAGTGTAAACAATGTCAGCACTTTTAAATTCCTTAGGAATGTACAAGTATAAACAAAAGATCACAATATCAACTGATGATCATTGTTTAAAATACCTGAGGCAAACGTGTGTTCCAGCAAATAATATTATTTACATTATGAACATTCCAAACGAGCACCTCACAAGCCACTATGATCTCAAGGATCAGGGCGTGCTATCCCAATACTCGTTTKTCGATGTTTTGAACGTTTAGATTTTAGCCCAGTGTTGTAATAAGATAAAGGATTGTTGCGCAAGAGTAGAGAATTTGATCTTCAAAAGTTCAAACCTTGTCAAGGGAACTTGCAGAAAGCTCTATTTAGGTGGGAAAACCCGCTGACTCGTCCCGGGCTCAAATGTCCAGAATTTCTGGCCATGTATCAGCTCGTAGTCCACGAGGCCGAGAGATCCAATTGTTTTGAGTATTACCATACTAGTTGGACAAAAAACGAATGAAATCTATAAATAACAAAATGTTTAAAATTAACTCTGACGTCGTTTGACATGTTTGGCATGTTTGACAAAATCAGTTCATTACACGCTTGCGAAAGCTGGTTTGAGTGAAAAAATTTAAAATGGTCCCTAAAACTTTGATTTGATCCACAATATTCCCGAAAGAAACTTAAAATGCGAAGTATATTGAGTGACATGGGTTAAGCAATCGAGACATCAATATGCATAATTCATGGCATTTAAATTGTAGCTGCTATTCACAATCGACACTGTGCAGCACTGTGAATGTTTGCATTTTCATCGTTGACTGCTGATTCGGAGGAGCAACAGTAAGGGAACTTCTTACAAGCTTTCAATGACATGTGGTGAGAGCGGCTCGCGAAATATTGAACATGTTTTCCTACTGTCTAAAGAAGCTCCTTGCAACTGTCCTTGCATTGTACGACTCGATGGAAGTATCCAATGACTTGTGCCCAGTGACAGTTTTGAAACATGGTAACAGATGTGGCTCGGATGGAATGATTAGTGAGATGAGGGGATATCCCAGCAGCTGTGACATATTTGTCATCATTTTTCAAGCGTAGTTTGCACGATAGGAGGGTTGCAGTACCATACTTCGTCATTTTTTGGGTTGAACTTCATCGATATTTCTCTTGTGTACTAACACGCACGCCATACTTGGGTTCATACAAAGCACACTTTATTGTAAGCACATGACTGTGACGTCATTACTGTACATGCATATAGTTAATATCATTACATCCCCCTTTTTCTACTATGAWATTACAATAGCGMTGAAATCACTAAGTATAATACGTATAATCAAGAAGATTGCACAAATAAAATTTCAACATATATAACGTTCAGCGTCAGTCACTTAACATAATCTTCAAATCTCTTTGGTGGTTTTACGCATCTACYACTTCTCGTTGTAACCGCTCCATTAGACTGTGGTATGGGCATTKGTRCCTCRACTGTTTCCGGTTCATCATAAGACTGTATGTTGCTAGTGACATAGTTAGCTGAGTCTGGCTCTTCAACATAGACTGCATCATCAAGTGGTTTTGGCTCTTCTGTCTTTAGAAGATGTTTGCGGTTTCGTCTAAATGTACCTTTCTCGGTTTGGACTAGGTATGAACGTGGCTCAGGCAATTTCTGTAGCACTTCTGCCGGTTTCCACTTCTTATCTTGTTGTATCCTAACTGTATCTCCTTCCTTTAAGGGCTCCAAGGGTTTTGCTGACTTGTCATGATAAAACTTCTGTTTGCTTTGTCTGTCTTTCAGCTTCGCAAGTGTCTCTTGTGGGTCATACCTTTGTGGAATAAGAGTCTCGGTTGTCTGAGGAACTGTTGTTCTCAATCTTCGTCCCATTAACATCTGTGCAGGTGATAAGTTTACTCCATCAATTGGTGTATTTCTGTATGACAGTAGTGCAGTATCAACGTCTTTTGCTTTCTTTAGCATGGCCTTCACTGTTCTGACTGTCCTCTCTGCTTGTCCATTAGACTTTGGGTATTCTGGACTGGATGTGATATGTTTAATGTTCCATTCTTCTGTAAATTCCTTGAACTCTTTAGAGGCAKAGCATGGTCCATTGTCTGAGACCAATGTAGAAGGTATTCCATATCTTGCAAATTGTGATTTCAGTGCAGTAATTACAGCTGCACTAGTACAAGAGTTCAGTAATGTAAGTTCTGGCCATTTAGAGTAGTAATCAACTGTTACAATGTAGTGTCGACCATCCTTTTGTAGTAGGTCTGTACCAACTTTTGACCAGGGTAAAGATGGGATTTCATGACTTTGTAGTGGTTCAGCTTTCTGGCTTGGTTGATTCTCTAGACATACAGAACACTTCTGAATCTTTTCTTTGACATCCTGATTCATTCCTGGCCAATAAAGAACATCTCTTGCTCTTTGTAGTGTCTTGTTGATTCCAAGGTGGCCACAGTGCAGTTTGTCTAGCATCTCGTTTCTCAACTCTTTGGGTACAATAATCTTCTGTCCTTTGAGAAGTAGTCCCTGTGAGATCGTTATCTCATCTCTAATGTTCCAATACTCATGAATCTTGGTTGGCGTCTCTTCCTTTGTCTCTGGCCATCCTGCCATAACTACACTTTGAAGTAGTGCCAAGGTCATGTCATTTGCTGTTGCTTTAGCAAATCTGTCTATCTGTGCATCAGAGATCATGTGGTCAAGTACACTAATCTCTAGAATTTTAGTGTTCACTARTGTTTCTTTCAAGTAGGCTCTCGACAATGTATCTGCGAAATACATCTCTGCACCACGTTTGTACTTCAGTGTGATATTTGGGTATCGCTGTAACTGTACTAGCATTCTTTGTAGTCGTAACGGTGCAGCATACAATGGTTTCTTCGTAATCGACTCTAGTGGCTTGTGGTCTGTTTCTACTATGACATCACAACCGACAATATATTCGTCAAACTTGGAACATCCAAAAACAACTGCTAGTAGTTCTTTCTCTAGTTGTGAATACGATTGCTGTGCTGGTGTTAGTGCCTTTGAAGCATAAGCTACTGGACGATAATTTTGTATTAGAACTGCTCCTAATCCAGTCGAGCTTGCATCAACTTGTAGTGTGAGACTTTCAGTCTGGTYGTAATATGCCAATACTGGTGCTGCTGTCAGTGTTTTCTTTATTTCCTGAAAACTCTCCTCTTGTTGTTCATCCCAGTGCCAAAGTGTTTCTTTCACTAGTAGTTCTCTCAGGGGAGCTGTCAAGGTGGACATATTTGGAATGAACTTGCTTACATAGTTAAGTACTCCAAGGAGTCTCTGAACACCAGTCTTATCGGTTKRTCTCGGCATCTCCACCACTGCTCTCACTTTCTCAGGATCGGTTTTCAATCCTTCACACGTAAAGATATGGCCAAGGTATTTCACCTCTGTTTGCTTGATTTTTGACTTTCTCGGGTTGAGTTTCAAGTTGTTTTGCCTTGCACGCTGTAGTGCAGCTTGTAGTCTTATGTCATGTTCTTCTTMGTTCCTACCRTGAACAAGAATATCATCCATCATGACTTCCACACCGTCTAGTCCTTCAAAGACCAGTTCCATTCTCTGTTGATATACTTCAGGTGCTGATTTGATTCCCATCGGCATTCTCAAGTAACGAAATCTTCCAAAGGGAGTGTTAAATGTCAAGAGCTTTCTGCTCTCTTCATCGAGCTTTATCTGATAAAATGCYTGTTCTGCGTCGAGCGTTGTAAAGAGTTTGGCTCCAGTACATCTTGCAGCTATTTTTTCCACTGTGGGTAGTGGATAATGTTCACGTTTGATGGCAACATTCAAATCCTTGGGGTCTATGCATACTCTTACGGATCCAYTTGGCTTTTCGACAACAACGGTACTGTTCACCCAATCCGCTGGCTCGTTCAATGTTACCTTCTCAATTATGTTTAATCTGACCATGCGGTCTAGTTCRTRCTTCAGTTTRTCACGTCTGGAATGAGCTATCCTGCGAGGAGGGTGTACAACAGGAGTTATACTAGGATCAATTGTTATATGGTACTCTCCAGGTAAACATCCTAGACCAGAATAAACATCTGAGTAATCCTTCATGAGTGCTTCAGTGTTCACACAGTTCACACGCTGAATTAGTCCCATTTCTTCACAGCTTGCTCTTCCTAAGATAGGTGTGTAGTTTCCATCAACAACTTGGAAAGACAGGCTGTGTTTGTTTCCTCTATTTACTCCAATTAATGTGCACTGTCCCAGGGGCTTAATGAATGTTTTGGTGTAACTCTCGAGCTTAACTTTCGTTTGTTCCAATGGCTTAGTAGTAATCTTGTCATAAATTTTCTTTGTTATAACGTTGCATTGAGCTCCGCTGTCTAACTTTAGATTTACTTGTAGATTTCCGAAATTGACTGTCTCGACCCAGTCCTTCTCTCCGACTTCAAGAGATCCAATGTGAAAACTCTCATCTGAACTTAAATCTTCTACAACATCATCATCATGCTCGTTGACACAGTTAATATTAGATGAATCTTTTTTCTTCTTAGGACAAAACTTCGCAAAATGGTTTAACACTTTGCATTTATGGCACTGCTTGCCATACGCTGGACATCGCTTTGGAATATGAACTGTTCCACACTTCGTACAAGCTTTTCGAGATGTCTCTCTCTCTTTGTTTTGGCTGTTGGAAGCTTTATTTCGCTGTCCTTTTGCATAACGCCGTCCAACTGACTCGACAGCTTCAACAGAGTCCGCCGCTTTGGCGCCATTACTGGTAATAGACTGCAAATGTTGTCTACTCGTTTCCACGATTCTTGCTGCTTTTAGCGTATCTTCGAGGCTTTTGTCGCTTTCCATCAATCGCTCTTTTAGTTTTATGTCTCTGAGGCCTAAGACTAACTTTGTAGTTATCCATGATTCTCCTCTGTCGCCAAGATCACAACTTTTTGCTAGGGCTTTGAGAGCTCCGCAGTATTCGTCAACTGACTCGCCGTCTCTTTGATTTCTTTCGATAAACAAATGACGATTGAAATTCTTTGAACAAAGTGGCTCAAAATAAGCTTTGAACTTCTCTTCGACTGCTGAAATTTCATCAGAGTCCTCTTCCTTCTCCCACGTGAACTGAGAAAAGATTTCTTGACATTCTTTGCCTAACACGTGCAAGAGTGTCGCGACTTGTATCTTCTCGGACTTTTCTTCAAGTCCACTAGCAACCTTGTAAAGGTCCCACGAGCGCTTCCACTGTCTCCAGCACTCGGACTTGTCTCTCTCCTCGCTTAATCTCAAAGCAGAGGGAGGTTTCAGGTGCTCCATATCCTCTAATTTTAGAGTTTTGTTCTGACACCATGTACTAACACGCACGCCATACTTGGGTTCATACAAAGCACACTTTATTGTAAGCACATGACTGTGACGTCATTACTGTACATGCATATAGTTAATATCATTACAGGCCAGACACTTTGTCCATTTAAATGGCGNTTGCTGCTTTTAGCGTATCTTCGAGGCTTTTGTCGCTTTCCATCAATCGCTCTTTTAGTTTTATGTCTCTGAGGCCTAAGACTAACTTTGTAGTTATCCATGATTCTCCTCTGTCTCCAAGATCACAATTTTTTGCTAGGGCTTTGAGAGCTCCGCAGTATTCGTCAACTGACTCGCCGTCTCTTTGATTTCTTTCGATAAACAAATGACGATTGAAATTCTTTGAACAAAGTGGCTCAAAATAAGCTTTGAACTTCTCTTCGACTGCTGAAATTTCATCAGAGTCCTCTTCCTTCTCCCACGTGAACTGAGAAAAGATTTCTTGACATTCTTTGCCTAACACGTGCAAGAGTGTCGCGACTTGTATCTTCTCGGACTTTTCTTCAAGTCCACTAGCAACCTTGTAAAGGTCCCACGAGCGCTTCCACTGTCTCCAGCACTCGGACTTGTCTCTCTCCTCGCTTAATCTCAAAGCAGAGGGAGGTTTCAGGTGCTCCATATCCTCTAATTTTAGAGTTTTGTTCTGACACCATGTACTAACACGCACGCCATACTTGGGTTCATACAAAGCACACTTTATTGTAAGCACGTGACTGTGACGTCATTACTGTACATGCATATAGTTAATATCATTACATCTTGGATGCTGAAAAAAGGCCTGGAGATTAGGATCTAGGTAACCAAGTTTTAATAGGGCATCGTATTGAATTATTAGGAACCTCAAACATTTTGCCGTCAGATTCGTCTGGTTATCTGTCAAACGATCTTGACAATTTTTTGCAGAAAAAGAACTTCGACACTCGTAGTATTGTCGCCCTTGAGCTGTGCTTCTAAGAACCAACCTGCATGCGATGTAATTTTTGTTTGATTTTCCCGTCCCCTTTTTATACCAAAACAAAAGGTTAAGTAAAACCATGAAGTACGAAGGACTTGAGACGGATCTTGTGCAAGTAGAGGTTGTCGTACGACTTCCAGATATGGATGTTCATATGCATGACTCTAATGTACCTATAGAGTAATTGGAGGGGGATGAATCTGTCACTCACTCAATCCCTCACTTTCTTGTAAACTTGAGCCTGCGATACTTGTGTTCACAGTTATATATTTATTATATTAATTTATTTTATAGTAATTTATTCACTAATTTTTCTTTACTGGTTTCCCTGTGCTATATCTGATTGAATTCATTTATTTTTTGGCAAATAAAGAAATCAAAGAAATATGGGTTACTTTGGCCCGCTGGATCTGAAATCTAAGGCACTATCGATTCGGCCACGCGTGCTAATGTTTCACAATTGCGGCTAGACTTGTCTTTTAACTGGCAGGCGCTCGACCGTGCTTGTCTAGAATCGAAGTTAAGATTTTAGGAAATTTGAGTCGCTCACAATCGACCAAGGCTTGTTGTTTGGTGGCTACCCGAGGAATCGGTTGTCTCGGATTGCTTTCGGCGATGACACTTTGGACTCGGTTCCTTCTTCTTTTCACGCGGAAGCATAAAATATCGCAAGACATTCATTAAGCTCCTCTTTCAACTGGTATGTTATTCAATAGTCTCCTTCGCAGCCTCCCATTTTGTCGGGCTTCCTGTCCCTCCCAAAAGAAGAGGCTGCTTACCCGAGTATATATAGGATTCCATTCCCGCTATTAGCCAATCACNTAATAATGTATTTGTGCATGAAAATTTTACTGAATATGAAATAAGGAGCCATTATTCCCGCATTTTTGCAGATAATTACTAAAAATATAATGATTTTCGTCATTTTCGTCGGTTGGTACTAAAAATATAATGGTTTTCGTCTTTTTGGTAGCCATTTTGTCGGCTTTCGCACTAATCTCGTCAAGATAACTTAAAATAAATTCACTTTCACTGTAGTTGTCGTCGTCGCTCATTTTGCAAAAATTAGCAGAAATGTTTTATAAAAACATTTTTTTCGTAAACGAACTAAAGGAATATCTTTGTTTTGCAATGCGTTTCAAATTGTGTTTTTTTTGTCTTACTCAATTAAAGTCAAAGCTGGTCTAATCGCGAAAAATAATGACCGCTGTGAGCGGGCATTACAGGAAAATTCCGACCGGTCATTATCTGACAACAGCCAATCAGAGCGCGCGTTCTATCTAAGCCATATAATAATAGGTGTTATAGCAAAAAGCTTATGAGATGGGAGATCTGGAGCTGACTGTGCCATCTAGGATTACACATTGACATTGACATGGGTTGCCCACAAATTGATTATCATAGCTTGAAATGCACAATTGTGTCATCACCGTTGATAAAAAATTTATTTTCATGAGTGAGAAGAATTGTATGAGTTTTGCTGAGGTCTGGTGAAAAATGGAAATTGTTACCTCCTGATATTCTTGTTCTGATTGTTTGTATACAAGTTTGTGAGGAAAAATTACCACTAAAAGGATAGAATTCCGTTGGCCTGTGCACCCGGACCTATGAATTGAAAGACATTTCAATGGCAAATAATAATATAAAGGTCTTAATCAATAGTCATAATATGATCGTAATACTCTAAGTGAACTAAAAAAATAATACTTATTATTATGATAATATTATAAATAACTGATATCATGCCGATAAATAACTATTTTAAAAAATAGTTTCGATTATGCACTTTTATGTYGTTCTTATGTATTTTCAATTGGGCATCGTAAATGGGATTGACTATATRTTCTTTATTATATTTTTGACAATTCGCTTGTGSTACCTCTGTGTGAGTTSCATTTGGAAGTGGCACCTCTGCAAAATTCGTTCCAGGTGTCGAGAAAATAATAAAACTACGGTTTTGCTCAGACAGTATGTCGATAATAAATCTCTTTTTTGATGATGTGGAGTTGAAGAATAACTCAAAGCATTTCCATGTATAATCATCTTGATTTAAAGTTGTCGATTCATATTCATACAATCCTTCATACAATCCTGTATACAATAGAAAATTTAACAAATGAGTTATACAATGAATTCTTGTGTTTATAGTCAATACTAACCATATTTTTTTAATTGATTAATAGCCTTGAAAATCATATACATTAACTCCATTA